GACGGCAAACCTGAACCTTACTATGACTTTGATCGGGTTTCCTTCGGGACTTTTGAGCAAGAGCGCTACTCCTACCCCCTTCTCGTTTGAGGAGCCATCCATATACAGAATCCACCATCTTAGGTCATCGAGCTTTGGCTTCTACTACTCGATTTCTTGTGAGGTATTTGCCTCTGGCGGGCTTAGTTCCCCTTTTGGCTGATAGAAGAATTTTGATACGAAATCCGCCAAAGCCTAACCCTTGATTGCCGTTCTTGGGATGTACTTGATATCATGCTAACTCATTTCTATCGTCCACTGGATCAATTTGTCCGATGCCTCAGGCTTTCGCATTATTTTCTTCAATGGATAGTTTGTCAGCACGTGAATGGAGTGCGCCTGGAAATAAGGCCGTAGCTTCCTGGCGGCAATGACAAGGGCATAGGCGAGCTTCTCCATTTCAAGGTATCTCGTCTTATCGTCGAGCAACCTCTTGCTCACATAGTATACCGGCCATTGCACTCCCCCTCTTTCGCGTACCAATGCTGCACTAATAGCGGACTTTGATACTGATAAATATAATAGTATTGGGTCACCCTGGACAGGCTTTGATAACAAAAGAGGCTATCCCAGATGTTTCTTTAGCTCTTGGAAGGCTCTATCTCACTCATCTATTCACTTGAAACCATGCTTCCTCTTCGAGGTCTCAAAGAATGGTAAGCATCTGTCTATGGCTTAGGAAAAAACCTGCTGAGTGCGGCCACACGCTTTTCAAGCTCTATACATGCCTTATGCTGGTCGAGCTTTTCATGTTTAGTAAAGCTTGAATCTTCTCTGGATTGGCTTCAACACCCCGTTGATTTACAAAGAACTCTAAGAATTTTCCCGAGCTTACTTTGAAAGCACATTTCGAGGGATTTAGCTTCATTCTATATTTTTTGAGGACGTCAAACATTTTCCCCAGATGCTCAATGTGGTTTTTAGCGACCTTTGATTTGATGAGCATGTCATTGATGTACACCTTCATAGTTTTGACAATTTGGTCGGCGAACATCTTGTTCACCAAGTGTTGGTAGGTCGCCTGAGCATTCTTCAAGCCAAAACGACATAACCCTATAACAGTAAATCCCATGGTCAGTAATAAAGGAGGTATGCTCTTCATCGAGCTGATACATCGAGATTTGGTTATATCCCAAGTATGCATCCATGAATCTAAGTAATGCGTTTCCAACTGTCACATCTACTAGTTGGTCGATCTATGATAGCAGAAAGCTGTCTTTGGGACATACTTTATTCAAGTCTGTGAAGTCGACACAAGTTCGCCACTTGTTGTTCGACTTCTTAACCAGGACTGGGTTGGCGAGCCAATCCGAGTACTTTATTTCTCTAATGAGGTTAATGTTCAGTAGTTTGTCAACTTCATCTTTGAGCGTTTAAAGCGCTCTGCATCCATAGACCTTTTTTTCTATCTTATTGGCCGAGCTTTTGGGTCGATGTTCAACCTATGATACATTACCTTAAGGCTGATCCCCACTATATCCGCATGCACCCATGCGAACACGTTGAGGTTTTTCTTTGGAAACCCTACCATATTATCGACCATTTCTTTGCTTAGGCTACTGCCGATCTTCAGTACGTGAGTTGGATCTTCCTCGCTAACACATATTTCTAGCAGCTCTTCTGTCGGCCCTACTACTGGCTCTTCTCTATGGATACGAGGATTTATGTTATCCTCAAGAGGTCTGGGGTGTGGCTAAGATTCTGTAATAACCATTGTCCTCGGGAGTCGCCATTTTAATGCAACATTTATGGCTCGGTTGTAACATTCCTGAGATTCTTTCCTATAGCTCTTGATCGTCATGATTCCCTTGGGAGTTAGGACCCTCATTGCTTGGTAGTGCACTATTGTGTCTGCGCGCAAATCACCAAGATCGGCCTTTCGAGGATGACGTTATATGTGGTTAGGCAATCTACCACTAAGAATTCAGCCAATACTGTCCTGATTTTGGGTTCTTCCCCTAGAGTCATGGGAAGGTTGATCTTTCCCTTGGGGATTAGGCTGTTCCCAGTGAATCCATAGAGTGGCGAAGGACACGCCCTCAAGTCCCTCTCTGTGAACCTCATCTCTCGGAAGGTTCCCAAGAAGATGATGTTCGCTTTACTTCCATTATCGACCATCAGCCTCAGTATTCTAGCATTGCCGATCCTGGCTGCGATTATGATTGCATCGTGATTATGGCAAGGCGATTCTTCATATTCTTCAACAGTGAATCCTACCACCTCGCTCTCCTATCTAGGCCACTTTGATGACTTCTGTTCATAGCTCGTTACCTAGGGGACCGAATTTGTTCTGGCCTCGCGAGTATATTACTCGCGAGCGAACCTTGAGCTTCCCGCTATGTCGGGGGCCCTATAAATCATACCCACCAGGACATCATTGTTGGCGTTGGCTAGGGCTTGCTAGACCTGGTTATTTTGTTCGCTAATATTTTCACGAGCTGATGCCTCCTTAACAAATTCCTTTAGATAGCCCCTCCGTATCAGGTCTTCGATGACATCTTTCAAAGCTCGACACTCTTTGGTGTTGTGCCTAATGTCCCAGTGGTATTGGCAATATTTTTGTTGATCTCTTTTGCCCAAAGCCCCCCTCATTCTTTTTGGAGCGGATAGTCTCTTCGCCTCACGAGAGACTTCGTAGATGTGAGCTATGTCTTGCGTGAGGGGGGTATATTCTGTGTACCGCGGGAAGGGATGTCTGTCTTCGCGGTTATCTATTTTCTGTCTTTTTTGGGACCTGTTCCAGTCTCTATCATTGTAGTCTTGGCCCTTCCACTTATCTGATGGGCGATCTTATCGTTTGTCCGGGGCTTTTCGTGGCGAGCTTCTAGCTAGGGCTACTAACGAGCTTTCTACTCGCTCACATGATTTTCACTTTGGAGCTCTTTCCACAACTCCGTGTTTGGCCTGATGCCTGTAATTAATAAAGTCTGGATTGACTCTTCAGGTGCATCCGCGACCTTTGCTTGCTCGTTTTGGAACCTCGTTAAATACGAGGTTAGTGCTTTGTCTTTCTCCTGACGAATATTGCTTAAGTAACTGAGCGATATTGCAAACTGTCTCCTCGCTTGAAATTGCTACAATTACAGCGAGGAGAATTGTTGCTAAGAACTGATGGAGTTCGCCTTGAGTCTTTTATACCACCTCTTGGCATCCCCTACTAATGTGACTGTGAAGTAGCGACACTTCGCCAAGTCACGACCTGGTGCAGCTCCATCAGGTCATTGAAATTGTCGAGGTGGTCTGTAGGGTCTCCTCTCCCGTCGAACTTACTCTTCGGTGCCCTGAATCCTCGTGGAAGTGGGGCTTGACGAACCTCTTCTGTGAAGGGGGAACTCACTATTTCTTCTGCCGCACCATTTTGGCGAGCTCTTAGATCATCGAGCATTTTTTGCACACGATCTAAGTCTTCATTGTAATCGCTCTGGCTAGCTCTGTTCAACCTTACCTCGAGCAAGTGAGTTCGCAAATCTGTTGCTTGTGAACCCCCTCCATTACACTTATTCTTACGCGAAGTTGAGTCATGATGGCTTGGTTGATAAATGCTATCATGCTTTTCAGTGTGTTGCTCACGTCGTCGATTATAACGGAATGTCGATCATTGCCAGATTGACGCACATTACTTGCCTCGCAAGCTTGTCTTGGGCGTGGGTTAAAACTGACATGTTGACGCTGGGGATACCGTCGAGCAGGTCGAGCGTCCTATGGGCGACCATTACCTTCGCTTTCACCTATTGGTTGTTTCCCTAATCGCCTCATAGGATTAGTTTGCCCATGAGACTCACGCTCGTGAGCGGAGTGCACTTTGTGAAGTTGGGGTTGTCGGTCGCCCCTTGGCGTTGATGAATCGAACTGGTCTTCGGCTGAATTCTGACCCGTTAGGGTGGTATCGGTGAAGCGTGGCTGGTCAAGATTTTGGGTGGTTGGTTGCTAATTTCTCAGTTTAGCCACGTTTTGTTGCACCGCCTGTGCAACAATGGTTCTAATAATCTCCACCAATTGGCCATTTTCGGGGTTTGACATCCCTGCCTTCTGGTTATTTGTGACATGTTGAGTTGGCGGCATTGGTGGCCGACACCCAGAAGCATCCTGTTACACCTCTTGATTAGTGGTCTCTACATTGTCGTGGTTTCTGGTGGTGGTTTTTGATCTTGTACACACCATCGTGGGCCTGAATTGGTTAAATCACTGTGGCTGTTTGCCAAAATTTCTGAAGGTGGAGGCCCTCTTTCTAGCGCCAAAATGTTGATACATAAATCTGCACTAACTAGAGTGATCCGATAAACCTTGGCGGGATCGGAACTGGTGTGTGTGTGATTACGGGTAACCAACAATGAATGAATAATGAGTGCAGTAAAGTCAATGGCAAAAAATTTTTTAAAGTGGTTCGGCGAGATGAACTCTTGAGCCTACGTCCACTTTTTTTGTATTTACTGTGAGAGCTTACAATAGAAATTCTAGGAATATTTTCCAACCCCTTTCTCATTGTTTGAGGGGGTTTATATACAGAGTTTGTACAAAGGACAGAGTGGAAATAAAGGGATTATAATTGAATTGAAATGCAACTTTGATATTCTTGCGATTGGGCGCTGTGATTTGTCAAAGATTGTTATCAATCTGATCCCTTCCGAGAAATCTTGGATCTGAAGTTATCTAGGAATTTGTTGAACAATCGCACGAAGTGTTCGCGATTAGATTGTGTTGGGTCGAGCTTATGTTGAGTCAGACAATCGGTAAAGTCGAGTCGGTTTCGGATCGGGCTATAACCTTGTGATATTCTGAGCTTGATGGAAAAATCATACACAACACTTAAAAAATTTAAAAATACGTTTGATACAATTCAAAAATTGTTTCAACTATAAAAATATATAAAAACATGTTTGTTATTTTATTTGTTCTTACCAAAAATTTTAGAGTTAATTTTTTGTATTTTCTTTTCCCTTTTTGTTTCCCATCGAAAACGAAATTATCAGCTCCCAAGTCAATAACGTATGGAAGCAGATTAATTCTCCCATTTCTCCTGATTCTCTCCCTCTTCTCTGGTAACTTATTTTCTCTCCCCAATCGTTTCTCTCCGAAATCCATTCTCTCACGAATCGTCTCTCTCCGAAGCAAGGATTTCTGCAATCCTGTTGTTGGACTTTAATTTATATAATTAATTTTCACTCACACTTTAGGCGATCATATTAAATTTCAATCCATTTCTTGTTTGAGTTCAATTAGCTGAATCGTGTCGAAAATCACTTCTCTGAATTGTCGATTACAAGAAAGGTTTGTTACTTAATACCATTCTCTGCGTTTTTTTTTAATTATCGTGACGTTGTTTTCCTTTTGCTTTCTAAATTTGTGAATATGATTTTGGTTCTTGTGTGTTGTGGCTGCTTTGACTTTGCTCAATATTCAATGTTTGCTACTTTAATTGGTATATGGTTAATGTAGGAATTCAGCATTGTTTATTCAGTGGTTACTAGTTTCTTTGTGTGAAGATGTGATTTATGTGTTTGTTTTCAGGGAGGTCTGTTCCCCGGGAAAATATTCCGTGACCTAGAAATTAATTTTGTGTGACGTGATAAACCAAAATTTGATTTAGATTACTTTAATTATTTTTCATAAGAACACAGCATTAAGATATTTTTCTTGGTTGATTTTGTTAGAGTGTGATGAAATATTGGTAATTCAATTTCCGATCCATTGACATGTTAAGGAGTAAACATTCAATTTAAATTTGTTTGATTTTGATTTTCCTCACAAATTTTGGTTGTGTTATAAATTCCTGTGTTAATCTTTGCAGGCACTTTGAGCAGAATCTGATTCTTTTAAGCTTCAATTTAACAAATGGTATGAGGACCTTTCTAATTTTTAATTTTCTTAAACATTTTCTATGTGTTGTTGGGACTATTCATTATTGGGTATTATTCTCTTGTGATGATAAAGCATTAAAATAGGATGTTATATATTCAACACATAAGTTATTAATCACAATTTGAACTTAAGCTTGCTAAATGGGTTCAATGGCCTTCAGGGTTTTGGAAAACTAGGAATTTGAATAATTTTTGCTTGGTGCCTTAGTTCTAGGGTTTATGTAAGTGAACAATGTCTTTTCAGAAGTTAGAGATGGTGTTGTTTTATAGGTTTATCACTCAAGTTTTGTCGATGAGGAAGGAGTTACTAAGGCTTGTGGATGTCCTTTACTTCCTTTGAAAAGCCATATAAAGGGTCCTGCTCCAGCTTCCGATCAAGGTTATATTTTTATCTTATTTTCTAATATTTATTCTTTTGGTTTTGTTTGTGGATATTGACACGTGTTTTGTGCAGATAGAACTGATATTGTTGATGAAGCTATCACATTCTTTCGGGCAAATGTCTTCTTTAGAAACTTTGATATTAAGAGCTCAGCTGATAAGCTTCTTATATATTTGACATTCTACATAAATGTGGCTTTGAAGAGGCTTGAGGGCTGCAGAACCTTGGCTGAGGGAACCAAAGCCATCATTAACTTGGGCTTGGAAAAGGTTCCTGTGCCTGGTGAGCCTAATTTTCCTTTTCCAGGCCTTTTTCCTCTTCCTCAATCAAAACAGGAAGCAGGTAAAGCTCATTCATGTCTATCTATGTGTTTAGTATTACTTGTATGTCATAGAGCTTATTGCATTGCTGAAGAATTTGTATAGGTTTTTTCAAGTTGCATCATTTGTTTCATTTTTAATTAGTCATCTTTTTCGTTGTACTTCATGATTATATTGTTGCCTTTTAGAATTTTACTTAAGATGTTTTTACCCTTATTTGTTATACTAATTTCCTTTAATTTTGTAAAATAATCCATGCTATATCTCTTCCTACATTTGCCTTGTAAATTTCTTAGTTTCAATAATAATTTCACCCTTAAATGATTATGATCTGTCTGTTATCTCAAATTATTGTCATCCATGTAGTGGCATAAAACAACCCTCCCTGTTGTGTTTTTCAGCTTGTTTCTCTGAATTGAAGAGTATATGTGAAAGAAGGATAATCATGAGCATAATCAAGCTGGTTTTCCTTGTTGTGTCTTCAGTGTAGTTCAGTATTTCTAATTTTCTGGAAGCAATAAAACCCTACTTACAATTTTTTATACAACTCTGACGTGGCCGCTCGCAATTAGGTAGACGGGACCCACTGTGAACTGACTATGTGAGTTGCCACATCAGGGTTGTATGAAAAGGTTATATGAAAAAGTTGTAAGTGTCGTACTGCTCTTCTGGAAGATACTTTGCTGAGACTGTAATGTTGCCTTACAGTCATGATCAATATCCATATTGTGTAGTCACTAGTGAATCTTCCCCTTGAATGATCGATTTTATTTTTGGCATGACCTATTGCATCATCATATGGCATTACAGTTTGAAGTTCTAATAAAAGTTGTTCAAGTTTATAACATTGGAAAATAGTTTCTTTTCTACTAGGCGTTTAGGTATAAAAAAACAAACATTATTTATCGTATGCATAATCTCAATCTAGAATTACTTATTTCACAATCATATTATTGTATGGTATGTTGGCATTTCTGTAAACTGTCAAATGTTCTGTTTCAGTCAATGCACAATCCCTGGCACAATGGGATATGATTGGCTGCTTTGAGTGTACTTAGACATTGATCTGTTGATTTGTTTTTAAATTTTGGAGTCTAAAATGCAGAGCTATTTAGGAATTATCTGAAGCAGATAAGAGAGGAAACCAGTGGGAGACTGTTGAGTGTTACATATAGACCCAATGGCACTCCAAATAAATGGTGGTTGGCATTTGCCAAGAGGAAATTCATGAACATCATTGTTCCTTGAAATATTGCTGTATATCCAATCAACTGGTATCTGCCTGACGAATTCTTCTTATGGAAGCTGTAAAATTCTGTTGCAGATATTTGTAATGATAAGTGTGAATTTTTTTTTGTTTTGAACTGTTCTTGATCCCCAGTGTTGAAATCTTTTTCATTGAAGAGTCATCTTGTATGGTAGTTAAACTTGAGAAACAAATGTTAACAATTTATTGCCAACTTCATTTATCTTTTCTATGGAAATATTTGTTCATTTTTCATTTCTCTTTGAGGGAAAGAGAAGGAGGAAGAAAGGATAGGGACAAAAAAAAGTGCATAGGTGCATTGTGGATAATTTGGTTTTGAGAAGGCAGTTCGCAATCAAGTTGAGGGGTTACATTTTTTTTTGACATAAGAGATAAGCCATGTATTATTTCTACTTAAGCCATTGCCATATCAATTTCTGATGTCCTTTTCGGTTGAGTATTAAGATTATCAGCAGTTTAGGGTTTGATATGATTTTCATGTTATGTAGATAGAGATACACATGTTCCTTGATGTTCATAGGACTGTCATGCACTGCTAAAGTTTGAAGTGATAATAGGTTTGGAGGATGTCTCTCTAGAATTATATGATCTGGGTTTAGCCTTTGATGTTGAAGAACTCTGGGTTTTTTTTATATGAATTCAACTAAACTTTGGCCTTGTTGAAATTCTGAAATCGATACAACTGATTATGCCTTGACCGTATGCCATTCTATGTTGGCGTCTGATAATATGTGCACTGAATATGAGCGTATTTTCTAAGGACCTGAATAATTTTTGTGAGAAGAAGGCACAACCGTTGATAATTAAACGAAAAAAGAAAACAACTCTTATACCATTATTCATATTATATGTATTTTATTTGCACGGTCTAGAAGTGGGGTGAACGTAGACCTAATTGTCATGCTGTAATTTTGTTGTGTGTTTAGTAAAAGCAGTCTGTAAATTTCTTGACTTTAGAGAGATTCTAGTGCTCGGAATGAAGAAGTTTAGAAGTATTGGTTGGTAACAGGGGTGAGCAGGTCCTGGTATGTGGCACAATCCTTAGAATCGGATTCAGACTCCGACTCAACGGTTCCTAGGATTTAGGAATCGGACCCGATCGGTTCGAATTCCTAAATGCCTCGAATTGGATCTTGGTTCCGGGTTTGGGTACCCGACACTGTTCACATAAAGTTCATGCACCCATTTTTGAAAAAACTGACAAATATACCCTAAAAAAAATATAAGTACACCCCTTTGTTTGTAGAAATTACAATACATCCTAGGTACCACCAAATTTAGAACCGGAATCGACACCCTAGGTACTCGTTGGTTGCGGTTCTACCCTAAAAAATTTCTCACCCTAGTTGGTAGTAAAGAAAATAAATATGGCAATAAAAGAGCAAGTTTGAGAGTGGGGAATTTGCCTAAAGTAGAAACAAACATATAATTGTGTTGAATACTAGATAAAATGCCATATATAGATTGTTAGGCATGATTATAATTGGGTAGGCAGCTCTATCTTTTTGAGACAGTCTAGTTTCTCATGCGCCAAATTTCTTATTTAATTGTAAAATGTAAATACATGAGGATAATATTGAAAGACCATTTTATATTTTTATTTGTTAGTGTTGAGATAAGAAATCGGAAGCATGACATTACTTTTAAATTAAAATGTTTTGAGACTGATAGACATTTAATCTTGCACGGCTGATTAATTTTTGCACACCCATAACTTTTAAATTTAGCCCCTATAAAGAACTTCCTCTGGCCCCTTCATTATTAAATTTTCATTCTAACCCTCCAGAAAACTTTTCGGCTCCGCCGGTGCTTTGCGTGGTTGTCAATTTGTCAATGAGACATTGAGACTTGGCAAAGTGGTGTACAATTGTTTGAGTTAGGAAAGTGACGGTGCCAAGCTTCCATTTCAATAAAATCAAGTCCATGTTCCAGTTTTAGTTGCACATGTTTTTCCATCCCGCCCTTCTTTGTTTCTCTCACCTTCATATCATATTTTGTGTATGATACTTATATTTTTATTCGTTTTTTGAACAAAAAAAGAAAAGAAAAGACTAATAGTATTATTGACGCATCAAAATAAAATAGATACTAGATGCGGTCTAGCGAACTTTTGAATTCACGAACAATTACTCTCGAATCTATGAGAGACTTATTGAATCTACCAAAAAAAAAAAAAAAAAAAAACCGTAGAATTCATGACGAAACAATTTGCAAATAAACCATTAAGAAATTTATAATAAGCGACCGTTGACTTATATATAAAAACCTTTTTTTAGGGTTAACTATTCAGTAAGGCAAGTAAAATCCCAAACTAGAAAAGTAAAAAAACAAGTAAGAAAATAATAGGAAAATCAAACTTAACTAAATCAAGTTTATGCAAACTATAAATCTAATTAAAATAAAAATATAGTTATGATTCAAAGATAAAATTAATTCCAAGAAAAAAAAAATAAGTTCAACAACTTTCCTAGTTTCCGTCTTTTTGGATCATAAAACCTCCCATATAGTCAAAAATAAAATTCTTAAATAGTTGACAACTTTATGGTTTAATGACACTTTCTCATCCATAGACTTTTAAAATACTACTTTATTATTCAAATTATATTCTAACGGTAAATAGAGAGTAAACTCGGTCCAGACTGTTGGGGCTTTTGAAAAGAGAAGGCCGATGAATCTTTTGTGGTGGAAGGTTGAATTTTGGTGTTTGAAATTGATTGAAATTTGACTTGGAAAAGACGGTTGTGTAAACCCTAATCGCTCAACTGCTGGTGATTGACAAGGTTGACAAGAGTAGAGTTTTAAGGGTTTTGGCGAGTGATGATTGGGAAAAAAAATGGTGATAGTGTGAGATCGCAATGATACCGAAATCAGTAACAGTTGAATATAAATTTGAATAATAAAATAATATTTTAAAAGTCTATGAATGAAAAACGTCATTAAACTATTATTTGGATGGGAAAAAGTCGTTTACTCAATTCTTAAGTATTAATGTGGGGGCATTTTATTAAAAGACCATTTTAACTAAAAATTTAATTAAAAGGCTATAGAGTTTGTAAATTTTAACTAAATGACCTTCTTTTTTATTAAGCTTAATTAAACATGATTAGGGGGTTAATTAGGATTAATGAATAATAGTGTAATCTTTTAAAAATTATAATAAGTCTCCAAAGAGTCAAAAATCTTGCAAACAAACCCAAACACCTTCTTCTTCTTCCTCCCGCCACATTAACGCATTCGTCCGCCATTAACATCTTCTCCAACACAGATCCTCCTCCTTCTCCTCCTCCTCCTCCTTCTCGTCCTGCTGCTGTTGAAATTTCGTCCAGGTATGTGTATCTCCCTTTTCGATTTACAAAGATTTAATGATGGATTGGGTTTGTATTATGATTTTGATTTAGTTGTTTAGATTGTTGGGTTGTGTTTGATGTAATGGAAGTTGAAAGGAATGGAATTTGTTGAAAATTTTCTTGCATTGTGGGTAGCTAGGGGTGGTTGCACCGATTGTAGGTGGAGATGACTGAAAACGTGTTCTAGATATGATGGATTGCTTAAGCGATCTAGTGTATCGCTTAAGCGATCTGGTATGTTTGGTAATGCAGTAGATAGATCGCTTAAGCGATTAGGTATGTGGCATAAGATCGCTTAAGCGATCTGCTAAAAGTCTGGTGTATAGCAGATGATCGCTTAAGCGATCAGTAAATGACATAATATCGCTTAAGCGATCATGTCTATTTACACTGGACCGCTTAAGCGATCCATTATATCGCTTAAGCGATCATGCTTATTTACACTAGATCGCTTAAGCGATCTAGTAAACGATATACCAGATCGCTTAAGCGATACACCAGATCTATCAAGTGACTGTGCAAATGCTTTTTAAAATATTTCAACCCTTAGTACATCAGTTAAGAATATTTTTTTTCTTGCATCATAGGTAGTTGGCTATTATTAGACATGGGACAAGTTGTTTTGAATGTTGAATATTTTGGTGAGTGGGTAGAGGAAGAAAGTAGGTGGAAGTGGATTGGGAAGAGCAAAGAAGTTATACCAATTGTTGTGAGCATAGAGGTTAGTTTTGATGAGTTGATTGATGAAATAATTAGAAGAGGTGATTTGAGTTGCTCACGTAGTGATACAGTTGTGAAGTATGTTTTAAGCAGAGTTCTTGAACATTATAAGGTACCTCTTGCTATATTAAAGTCGGATGAAAGTGTGAAGTTATATATGATTGATGTGGCCGATAATGGTTCGAGGCCGATTTTAAGGGTTTCTTTTGTAGGAAAACCGTTAGAAGTTAGTTCAAAGGAAGGGGATAACAAGGAAGTTGGCGGAGATTTGCCTGGTTTTAATTTGAACTACGAGGGCATTGATTTGTTAGTTGAAAAATCAAGAGTAGATGGTGAATTGGGTGGTGATGAGGACACTGTAGAAGAGGTTGGTCATGGGTGGCAGAATGAAAATGTTGAGGAAGAGGACTCCGTACATGTTCTCGCAGATGTAGAGATTCCTTTAAATAAAAATTATACAGAAGGTGTAGTTTGTGAGGAAGAGAACACTATGGTCGTTTATGCAGGTTCAGATGGGGCAATTGCAGGTAGTAGTGAATCAGCTCATGTTTTTACAAATGAATCAGAGTTGCGTATAGGGTATTTGTTTAACAACAAAGAGGAAGTGGTGAGGAAGCTAAAACTTGTTGCAATGAGAGGTAATTTTGAGTTCATCACCAAAAAGTCAAATTCATTAGTTGTAACGGTTGCATGTCGTGACCGAAAGTGCAAGTAGCAGGTTTATTGTAGAAGGTTGGCGGAGTCCGAAAAATTTATTCTTAGCACATATACCAGTGAGCACACATGTGGTTTGGGGCATATTTCAGGTGAGCATCGACAAGCCTCCGCTGATGTTATTGGACAATTTGTCAAACGTTAGTTCGTTGAAGGGGAAGGTTCATCTCCTAAAGAGATTCAGAGACTTTTGCGCACAG